TGTAATTACATATAAAACTTCGTCTATACTCTAATAAAAAGTTCTCCAGACCAAAGAGGTCACCTTAATACCAAAAATATATATATATATATTATATATATATTATACAAAATCAATACAACTCTTCCCGTCGATCATATGTACCAAATTTTCTGCTAATAAAAAAACAAGAAAACTGTTAGAGTTTTGTAGATTAAGATAGTGGTTTTTAGTAAAAGAGGTCAACTTACTCTGGGAACTCCTTGCTATATTCAGCATGCAAGCCAGAAGCAACAAAAGGCACAAGAGGAAAAGGCAGGCAGCACTCTTGGATAGTACTGAAATTCTGGTGGAGGCTATGGCGCTCTATCAACGAAGCTCTTTAATCTATAGTTCTAAACTTTCTGTAGTAATGGTTTTTAGAGAAGAAAGTTTAACCTTACTATTTGGGGACTCTACTCTATATTTGGCATGCAAGCTAGAAGTTACTTTGTATAAGAAGAAAAGGCAGGTGGCACTCTTGTGGGTATAAAAATTTTGGTGGGAAAGATAACCGTTGACGAAGCTACTCTTCATGGTTTTAGAGCCCAGGGGAATAATAGTTCTTTCTTGGATTATTTTTCTATACACTGCTTGGAAATTTTGGGCTTAGATCTTTTTCCTCTCCTATCACTTTTTTTTTTTCGATAAAAGTGGGCAATTTGGTTTGCCCCCTCCAACTGATTGACAGTGCTTACACAATCCAAATTGGGACATTAGTCACGGGATATATACAAACCTCTACACGTACGAAAATAGATAACACGTACTATAATTACATATGATACATTAGTATTAGATGGAGTAGAGACTTCTAAACTTAGTTTTATATAATTTTTTAGAATATTGCAGCCAAACTTTACACTGTATTTCTTTTCTTTTTCTTTTTTCTTTTTTGTTTCTTTTGTTTCTTTTTTGTCCCAATAGATGTATGTTAGGCTACTATCCTTTTTTCTGCTTTTTTCATTTCCATCCGATTATTATGGAAACATATTTAGAACATACTTTTCTTTTTGTTTTATGTTTTTTTTTTTTTTTTTTTATCTCTTTCTTTTTTTAGATATTGTTGTTCTTTTATAATTTTGGCAAATGGTTTTTTCCCTTATAGAAAAGTAAGAGATAAATTATTCTGCTGAGATCTAGATGAAAAAGTTTTAAGAAGAAATAGGCAGTCTTGATAGGCAGCAGGGCCTTTTGGTGATATTATATTTTGAGCCAATTTTAGAACAGAACATAGTGGAGGAAAATTACTGCTATAGCAGGTTGCACATAGGTGCCAATTGGGGTAACCAGGTGAGTTAGCACTTGTAATTTAGGTAGCAAAGGGGTTAGCTCTTTTGTAAAATTTTAATAGTCTAAATGATTATTACAAAGCCTAATAAAGTGATGGCAAGACTGTCGAATTTTTTTTTAAAAAAAAAATTATATATATATTATATATATATTATATATAATATATAAGTATAATGTAAGAATTTGCCTAACCCCTACCCCCTAGAATATTACATAATATCTGTTACTTCCCTTACTAGTATTCAATCTTGTGTTAGTAAACTTGGAAAATATTACAAATAACAATAAACAAAACCCATATATTTTATTTATTTAGTTAATTTTATTATTAATTGATAATCTATTTGTCACCTGGAGAGGATCTGCAAAATTTTATAAGTAAGGTTTACTATTGACCCAAATATAGCGGTGCTATATCTAAAACTTTTTTTTACTAAAACAATCAATCTTGTCAATTAATTAAAAGTTGTAGAGCTTATCAAGATGCATTTAATAGTGTAAGAACATCAAAATTAGCTTGGTGATTCTTGAAATATCTTTAAAAAAACATCTCATGCACATATAAAATTACTTTAAAAAAAGGCTTCTTTTTTTTAAAGAAATTTTATATATGCACAAAATGTTTTTTAAAGATATCTCAAGAACTACTAGGCTAATTTTGATGCTCTTACTTTATTAGATACATTTTGATGAGCTCTATAACTTTCAATTAATTGACAAGATTGATTGTCTTAGTAAAAAAAAAGTTTTAGATATAGCACTGCCACATTTGAATTAATAGTAAACTTTACTTATAAAATTTTGCAGATCCCCTCCAGGTGGCAAATGAATTATCAATTAATTTTATTAAAATTTAGACATTTAGCAATTTTAAATTTAGAAAATTTATTAGACTTAAGATATTTGATTATTTAAAGCTCAAAATTTTATTAACAAAATTTAAAAATTTTATACAACTTAGAAATTAAAAACTGAAAAATTTATTAAAGAAAAAAAAAGTAAAATAAAATACAGAACAAAGAAGAACAGGAACAACCATCAACTTAACCAAGCTAAAACTTGGACCACCTTCCACAATAAACTATAATACCTCAATCTTTGACTCTAAATCATCTATCTCTGTCTTCAAATCTGTTATTTATTTCATTCTTCTTTCAACCTTCCTATTTACATTTCGTGAAGGTAATATAGCCATACCAGCTCAGTTAAACCATGCTCCTGAACTTGAGCTTGCAAGTTTGTAATCTGGTTTTGCAAACCCTGAATTATGGAAGGAATAAACTAGCTACAAGCAATACATGGCATCCAGATTTAATATAGAAAAAGTTAAAAAAATACTTTTTTCAAGATAAATATGCTTAAAAAATAAGAGTATATAAAGAAAAGAAAAAAGAAAAGAAAAAGAAAAAATATCTACCAAGACCATGTAGTCAATTATATCTAGTACAAAAGACCACAAGCTCACTTAGACATGGAAAGTTAGTGGTTGTTCTGAAGGAATAAAGGCAACAAGGTTTAGCACACAACTCAAAAAGTATATCTACTTTCTGAATAGAAAACAAAAAGCAAAACCAGAGAAATTTTAATAGAACTAAAACTAGAGAAAAAAAAAAATGAATGAGTATTAAACAAAAAAAAAAGTTTTTACATAAAGGAATAATAGAAAGAATTAGTATCAAAGAAAAAATTCATATATGTAAAATTTTTAAGAAACAAATATAGAAAAAACAAAAATATAAATAAAATTAAAAACAATTGATAAGTTTTCCCATGCCAAGAAAAATATTGTATAATATCAGCAAAGAAAATCACAAATGATAATGATATAATTACAAATTTAGAAGAATATAAATAATTTTTTTTTTTTTTTTTTAAGATGAGATCTTGCCTCATATTATTTATTAGGTATATATGTATATTATATACATTTATACTACAATTAATAGAACAGTGGCTTAGACAAATTATCTATGATCTATACCTACTAGAGCTGTCCATGTCCTACTTATGTATTATCTAGATTTTATGTACTACTAACTAAATACTATTCAAACTTTAATATATTTAAAAATAGATAATTTAAAAATATTTAAATCTAATTTTAGTACAAAATCTAGAATAAGTTTAGAGTTCTCACAAATTTTAAAGAAGGAAAAGACAAAGAAGCCATCAGAACACATGTTTGGCTAAAATTTTTGCCAAAATTTTGCCAGGATTATTGCATATAGTTGGCACAAATGCAAAACATATATGAAACAGATTTTAGCATGTAGTGATTTGCAAAGAGCAAATATGAGTTAAACGAAATAGATAAGTGTTTCAACTCTATAACACAGATAAACATTTTGAAAGATATTTAAAGAACAAAAATTTATCTTCTTTGACTTTAAATTCAACAATTTCAAATCTTAAAAACATCTTTTAAAAATATTTTTAAACCTTACAAAATTATCTTCTACTTTATTTTTTTAGTAACAATAAATATTGCATCTACTGCACCTTCTTGAATTATCTCTTGCTTTACTGTAAAATTAAAGAGCTTTATGAAACTTGTTAACAATTGCAATATACTAGAACTATTATTGTTGACCTATCTGTACAATAATTCTGTATAAAAATAGGTGTACTCACAGCATTTCTACTACAAATTCAAAAAGTGAACTCCTTCTTAGTCTTTTAAACTAACTCAAGATTAATATAATGAATAGTGCATCTGTCCAAATATTTCCTGTTCAAGTATCATCTTTAACCCTATAAAAAATTTTTAGTCATTATATTCCGATTGCAATTAGGTATTTTAGTAATATTCTGATTATATTTCAATTAATGATCTTAAATTTATTGTATAAATTTTTGTTACAAAATGTATTCAGAAAATATTCCAAAAACATTTTATATTCAAATTAGAAAATTCTAATAATAAAATGTATTCCAGAAAAACTACACGCAATACTTCAATTTTATATTTATATATAAATTAAAGCTTTTAATAATAAAGTATATTCTGGAAAAACTATAGAAATTAATCTGGTTTTATATTTATATTAAAATTAAAAAAAATTTAATAATAAAAATACTGCAAAAGTAATCCGGTTTTATATTTATATTAAAATTAGAAAATTTTTTTAATAAAAACTTGTTTTATTTAATTTTAAAAACAAATATATTAAAAGAACGCCCTATAGTAGTTTTGCATTTATTATATATTTTATATAATTTTCTTAGTTTTACTAAGTTTTTTTATATAAAATTTTTAGCACAAATTCTTTAGTATTTAGTGCTAGAATTAAGGTTAGGAGGGTTTTGAGAGACATAGAACATTTTTACTTAGAATATCATATATTAATTAAGTATTTAGCTTTTAAAATATTATTTGATTTTCTTTATCTATAATAATATATTTGTTTTTTCTATTTTTAAAAAACCCACACAACAATCAATAGCAGCTATATCAATAATACTTTTTTCATCAAAATATTGAAATAATTTTATATTATTTCTTGAAATTTCTATATTTCTTACCCAATATATATAAGCTAATAAATTTGGTTTATTTTTATATTTATGAGTAAAATAATATAAAACTTGACCATAAAAATCTTGTTCTTCAAAAACAATAAGTGCTTTTGGACGATGTGCATTTTTATCAACAAGAAATTTTGCTTATAATAATTATAAAATATAATTATAAAATATTTAAATATTTTATAATTTTAAAATAATTACTTACTGCAATTGAAT